AACGATCCTTCTCCTATCGCACTTGGGGCTATGTACCCAATCTCGGGTGGGGGTGATGATATCTCCCCCCTGACCTGGCGTCCTGACTCCTCCTTGCCATAGCATTTGTGTTGTACCTATCTGTCTCGCTCATGTCTGCGGTTGGCTTGCAGGAATCGAACTTGCGGTCCTCTGTTCCAAAGGCGTGTAGTCTAACCACGCAGCAGGATGCATTTCACGCTGTAAGGTTTTGCTGTATTTAATTCTTCATGACTCCTCCACAGAGAGGGCCAACAGAGCTCATCAGAGATTCCCAGTAGTCAGCATCAACCACAACTGGACATATTTCAGGTATGTACATGTACAACATCTACTTTTACATAAATTTTGCTCACAGCTATCTCCATGCTGGGTTCTGGCTCAGAAGGTAGAGCTTTCTGTTGAACAGAATTTTGTGGTCAGATTTGTGTCTCCACTAAACTGCAAATATATCGGCAAATCTCAAGCATGTCTCAGTATTTCAGAAAGAAAAGCAAACCATACGCTTTGGCGGCTGGGCAGGCACAAAAAGAAAAATAAATGGAATAAAATTCCATTTTATTTAGAAGCGCCTTTCAAGATCGAGTACACATTACAAGCAATTAGGTAATAAAATTACAGTATGGCCAATAACACTTGAAATGTCACAGTCCTGGGTCTGTGTCCCAGCGTTTTCTATTTTTTATTGTTAATCTTTGATTTCTTGATGTCTTTGTTTGTTCCTAGGTTTTGGTTCTGTGGTTATATAAAGTCCCTTGAGGCGACTTTTGGTTTAATTTCGCACTATATAAATAAAACTGAATTGAATTGTCAGTATCAGGCCTGTGTTTTCCATGTGTCCCTTTTAGTTCTCTGTCTAATCTGTGTCTTGTGAATTGTTTCTTGTTTCCTGTTTTACTTTGACAGTTCATGTCTGATGTCAGTGTAATCAGTTTTGCTTCCCCTGTCTCATCTTGTCAATTACTCCCAGCTGTGTTCCCCACCTGTTTGTAATCTCCCTGTGTTCTTCTGCTTGTATTTAAGTCATGTCTACTCGTGTATTAGTTGCTGCTTGAGTATGGGAAGTGTGGTGTCGGAGTAAAACCTACATGCTGTAATTGTGGAGGGGAATACAGTGTTGCTTTCTGGGTATGTGAAGTATTGAGGCAGCAGACGGTTATTCTTTTTTTTTTTTTTTGCGCCTGTCACGTTTGGTGCTTTTGCCATCAGAATTATTGTCTAAAGGCGAGGAAAGATGCCCAACGGATTTCCTTGACCAAATTGACCATCCCAGCCTTGCCGTAATGGTCTATTTGATTCACCTTTTATTGTTTATTTTATTTATTTTTTTATTTTCACTTGCTAGGTATGGGACAAACTTGAATGAGGAAAAGAAAAGGGAGAAAGGAAGAGGGGAAACAAACAGCGGAGAAGAGGGACAGGGATAAAGGGCAAAAAAACAAAAACCAACTAAATAAGCAGACAAAAAAATACAAATGCATCTATCAATCACCTGGATCACCTGTTGAGAAAGAAAAAAAAACAAGCAGAAGAAAACAAGAATAATACAATAAACAACATCATGATGATATATGGGAATATGACAGTAAATACTAAATATTAAACATTATTGTGCAGCACGTAAAATTGACAGCGCATAGTGTGCTTTGAGGTAGGAGCCAAAAAGGGT